CCAATTCCAGCAGCCTTTCCTTATATGCTTTGGTCTCCAGTCCCCTAATCATCTTTGTTGCTCTTCTCTGTACTCTTTCTAGAGTCTCAGCATCTTTTTTACATCGTGGTGACCAAAACTGGATGCAGTATTCCAAGTGTGGCCTTACCAAGGCATTGTAAAGTGGTATTAATACTTCACGTGATCTTGATTCTATCCCTCTGTTAATGCAGCCCAGCATTGTGTTGGCCTTTTTGGTAACTGCAGCACACTGCTGGCTCATATTTAAATGATTGTCCACTAGGACTCCGAGATCCCTCTCACAGTTACTACTATTGAGCAAGGTACCCCCTATACTATACCTGTACATTTGGTTTTTCTTGCCTAAATATAGAACCTTACTTTTTTCACCATTGAATTTCATTTTGTTAGATGCTTCTTCATATGGCTTAAATTTCTGATCGTCTCCTTTCCATTCCTTTCTCTTCTCCTTCCCTTCACTTTTTTTCAAGTGAGGTTTCAAAACTGGACATGCTGCTTTAGGTGAAAGTACCTGGGAGTGCACCATCTGCCAAACAGATTCCAGTCCCAAATGATGATGCCCGTTTTTTTCCTCTGCAAAATATTGCTGAACAAGACAGTTTGCAGTTGAGAAATGGCAGACTGGGAAAGGTTTCTCTCAGGTTCTGAATTTAATCTGTTCCAAAACCAGCTTTTCATTGTTTCCATGCGATGTGGAATTTTGTGAATTGAGATGACTGGCTCTTATTAAGCCATTGTGCTAAAAAATCTTGATTTAACAGACCATTTTAGAGGAGGGATGCCCATTAAATCCAAATTTACATCATTTGTGTAAGTTTACATGATTTGTGTAATCATGTTATTGACATAAAGGAATTATTTTGAATAAATCAATTTAATGCACATATCCCTGATGTAGCCAATAGAAATCTCTTAAATAGTATGGAAATTGAATGCATAAATGAATAAAGAATGCGTTCATTGTAAATCAAAGTCCAGTAGTTGAGAGTTTAGTGTAATATATTCTTCATACAAGATAAGTTTCTGTATAGTAAACTTTATTTTACTACATGTGGCATGTTGTCATTTAAGTAATAGAAAAATAAATGTTGCAGTAACTGTAATATTGAATCCATGAGCTTTCCTTTAGATCCTGATAGAGGCTTATCAATGGACCTTTTAGAACTGAAAATACAGTAATTTATTTTGTGGTTCTTTTTACTGTTTGAAATTGCTTTAACTGTTTTAGAATTTTAGAATTGCAAGCTGTGCAGGATCTGTTGAGTTGGGCAGCTAGAGAAATTGAATAAAATAAATAAATAGTTCAAGTCAGGTGCCGTACAGTATTCAATTATAGAAGATTTGTGTGCCAGAAGACTTATTTGTATAATAGATTTACTTCTGATTTCTATCTGAATAGAACAACACAGTGCTGCAGAGATGCATGACATACTTTCTCTCTGCGGGTACTTACGAACTAGTAAGCTCTGCTGTCAACTCTGATTATATCAGCATTGTGTCTGGACAGAGAGCAGACTGAGTAGACACAGCAATCTTCTGCTGTGCAAGAGCATGTTTTGAATTAGGGTTAGGAAATACCTCCTGATACTTCAGCTGCACTGTTTCTGAATCTCTTGGCCATGGAAGAAAAGAAATAATGCCTGCCACAACAGCCAGATGTTAGTACCTTAGAGAGAAAGGCTTGTTTCCCAGCTGTTCCTTGCCTTTCAGGTCCCAGTGGCCAAAGTTAGAGAGCAAAAGGATTGATAAAGCTCCCCTAATCTTCAGATGTTCCAGCTGTCTCTCTGTTCTAAATCTAGAGGATCTAACTTTGCAGGTTAGAGATTCCAGCCACTAAGAGAACAGCCAGATGTGGTCCTTCACAAGACCCAACTTCTTTACCCTTCTTGCTGCTTTTGATGCCATTGAAGTTGCTGCAGGTTGGGCCTCAGGAGGCCAAAATGAAAATATTCTTGAAGCAAGCAAGACGAAAACTGCTAGATTTACAGTGTTTCTCAACCTTGACAATTTTAAGGCATGTGGACTTCAACTCCCAGAAATCCACAGCCAGCATGGGAGTTGAAGTCCACATGCCTTAAAATTGTCAAGGTTGAGAAACACTGTGCTAGAAGGATCATGAGGCAGAAGGCAATTTAATTTCTTCCTTGCCCAAGATAACTGCAGTGGTTACATGTTTATATGTAGAACAGAATCTGGAATTTTTATTCTTTTCGTCTTTTATTAGGAAAAGAAATGATCTAGCCTTGATGATGACAGGATGTCGAAAGTGTGTGAGTGACCCTCACGTCTTATAAAGTTAGCTCCAGCAAACATCATAGCTGTAGGCATCATGTCAAAATCTTCACCTTTTAAAAAATCTTTGGGGATGGGTGGATGGATGGATGGATACACAGATAGATGAGGTGTTTAGAAGAAAAGTGCTCTTATAACATGGTGGCGACATTGCTGATGGTCTGTTTCCTTTCCAGCTCCTTCTCTAATGAAATCCTGGGCCTGAAACTGCCTCTGGAGCCTGTGCTGAATGCAAACACTGTCTGCATGAACTTGCCTGGTCTGACCCGGCGGCAGTTGGAGGTTTGCATACGGAATCCTGATGTGACGGCATCTGCCATTCAGGGCATCCAGATTGCCATCCATGAGTGCCAGCACCAGTTCCGTGATCAGCGTTGGAACTGCTCTAGTCTGGAGACCAAGAATAAAATCCCCTACGAAAGCATCATCTTCAGCAAAGGTGAGAATTTGCCTCCCTACCAGAGGCCCTGTAAAATCTCCAGAAGTTGATAATGTTTGGGAAGAGGCTAAGCTGCTTACGGATCAAGCAGCGGACTCATTCAAGAAGTTGTGACGTTAGAATTTGTTCTAGAATTCAGCAGCTTCTCAGAATGATCAGGTGATATAATTGGGTTAAGTTACAGAGTTCCCCCCAGATCACCTATTGCAGAGGTCCCCAACCTTTTGGGCACCAGGGACCGGTTACATGGTTTTTCCACGGACCGGAGGGGGTGTGGTTTTGTGTGCTGCCTGCATCCTGCAGATGGGGCCTTGCTTACTTGTGCGGCCCGGTTGCTGGCATGCCGCAGCCCGGTACTGGTCCATGGACCGGGGGTTGGGGACCCCTGACCTATTGTATATAGGTAGTCCTTGACTTATAACAATTCATTTCGTGACCATTCAAAGTTACAATGGCTCTGAAAAAAAATGACATGACTGTTTTTCACAGTTACGACCTTTGCAGCATCCCCAAGATCACATGGATCAAAATTGAGATGCTTGGCAGTTAGTTCATATTTAGGATGGTCTCAGTGTCCAGGGGCTCATGTGATCAACTTTTGTGACCTTCTCACGAGCAAAGTCAATGGGGCAGCCAGATCCACTTAACAACCATGTTACTAATTTAACAACTGCGGCAAGGAGGGTCATAAAATGGGGCAAAATTCACTTAACAAATGTCTCACTTAACAACAGACATATTGGACTCAATTGTGGACATAGGTTGAGGACTACTAGTATTTGGTGCATTTATTTCTGCCCTTCCAGAAAAAAATACCTAAGGAAATAGGAAAAACCAAGAAGCCATTAAACATACCTCAAAATAATAAAAAACAAAAATAATGAAAATATCCACATCAGAATAAACAATTTACCATAAGACGGTGCCAAAATAAGAGCAGATTCTAAAGATCAGCATGTTTAGTAAAGAAAAAATTCAGATAAGAAGAAATAAAAGTTTCAGCCAATGCAAGCTGGATCTGCTAAAATGATAGGCTAATCTTTCTCTTGCTGGCTGTTGTTTATTATAATTTTATTTGGCTACGGAATACATTTATATAGCTGCCCATCTTATATTGAACTCTAGTTTGTTTTTTAAGGGAGAATCCAATCATTGTGTTTTAAATTTTGTATGAAAAAGTAAAAGCTCCTTCAAGCTCCCCACAGCTCCTGGTGCTTCATAAATTTTTCTGTGTAGTTTTCCTCGTAACAGTATAGAAAAGATTTCCCGTTTCCTTCTTCTGGGATAATTTCCCAGTTTCCCAGTTTTTCCTCTGTCATGGAATTCCCTGGGGCTTTCCCATCCATATATTAAGCAGTCTCAGTCTGCCAATAGCACCCAGCCAAGATCAGTCAGGTCCTACTACTGCTGTGACAAAAACAGAAATATAAAATCAGGGAAGATCTGTCGACATTTAAAATAAAGCCAATGGGAATGGATTGGAACATTGCATAAGAGACTAGTACAGTGGTGGCGAACCTTTTAGAGACCGAGTGCCCAAACTGCAACCCAAAACCCACTTATGCATCGCCGGGTGCCGGGTGGGTGTGGCCACTGAGTGGGCGTGGCCATCGAACTGTCGGCTCGTGCTCATTCGCTTGCTCGCTCGGTGTCTCCTCCAACTTGTGCTCGCTCTCTCGCTGTCTGCAGCAAATGCTGCTTCCGCCGAAAGTTGCTCCTTTTATAGCCTCTTGCCTATTCCCAGACTGCGCATGCGTGGAGAGCTGCGCATGCGCGGAGAGGAGGAGGGAACAGCTTGGCCCAGCAATGGCTCGTGTGCCACCAGAAACGGCTCTGTGTGCCGTCTGTGGCACACATGGCATAGGTTCGCCACCATGGGCCTAGTAGATAGTCCAATGTGCTTTTCAGGATTCCTGGCCCTGGGATCCACCTCAATTGTCTAGCAGTCAGTCTGTCTTGCAAATTAAAACCCTACTGTCTCACTAGGTGGGAATCTGCCAGTTTTGGGGAGTTCTGGCAGCTTTGGGGTTTTGTTATGTATGTGCATGTGATAATCTCTTCCTGAGGTTGATCAGATATACTTGGGGTGTGTGTGTGTGTGTGTGTGTGTGTGTGTGTGTGTGTGTGTGTGTGTGAGAGAGAGAGAGAGCGCTATATTACATAAGTTAATGTAGTACAGTAGCTCTTCTTCAGGTATCAGGATGTTTCAAATTCCTTCCCAGTTGGAAAGCCATGTCAGATAAATTGGGTAATAACACGTTGAGATAGTTTGTTGTAGACAGGCAGGCACTTCAGATGCTTATCATGAAAAACTTTTACGGAAGATGTTTCACTGCTAATTGGAAGAAACAATTCCCTTCCACGGGGCTTTGTTAATTGCTGGAACTCACTACCACAGGATATATTTCATAGCCCAGGGGTAGGCAACCTTGGCTCTTTTATGACTCGTGGACTTCAACTCCCAGAATTCCTGAGCCAGCATGGCTAAGCATGGAAATCTCTTCCCTCAGCATGGCTGGCTCAGGAATTCTGGGAATTGAAGTCCACGAGTCATAAAAGAGCCAAGGTTGCCTACCCCTGTGACATAGCCTGAGAATTTAAGATGAAAAGGAATTGGAATCTCCACATGACAGAATAGCAAGGCTTCTATATAACTTCTTATAGGTTTAGCTTTGTGGTGCTTAGTGTCAGTTGTTGCTTCTTTGCAGACACATTGTGTGGTTCTTGGGGAACAAAGTAGCTCCCTGCTTCTTGATTGAATACAAAAACTCTCACACCGTTGGCTAAGTCCATCTCCTTTGGATACATATGTGCATATTAGAGAATGACAGCTACATCAGCAGCTCTTATTGGCATCAACAGAAAAAAGACATTTATTTGTTTTTTTATTGTAGAGGTAATTTGCATCTCAGTATGTCTCAAGATTTGGGTTGCTTACAAGTCTTGTTCCTAGTAACCTAAAGTGGGCAGATCCTTTGAATCATTCTTGCCTTTACTGCTGCCATTAGCTCCATCATTTTTCCATTTGTTTTTGATCTTTTACACCCCAACATTTCCCCTTCCAATTATATGAGGAAGGAAACCTCCATCTTTCAAGGCTCAGGAGTTGGTTGTTCTTCTCCTTCCAATCTTGGTTTATCTGGATGGACTGAATTGATTGGACACCAGGAATCTGCTTCTGGCTAATGTAATGGGGAAATTTAAGGTAGATGTGAAACAATTGTGTTGCTTGCAAACAAAACAGCAATGAATTTTCTGTTGCGCTGGATCCCTTAGTTTAAGGGATCCAGCCAGGTACGCACTGCCTAGTATTGTTTTGCTGATAATTTGCAGTTGAAAATCATGACAAGAGTTGTGTCTGCACACTCTGCAGTTTCAACATGGATGCATTGAAGGATTTCTGGAATTTCTTCTGCATCATTGCCTTTTTGGCAAAACATACGATGTTCACATAATCCCTAATTTTGTATGCTTAGACAAAAAAAAATGGTGCTGTCCCACTGGGTTTTTTTATTGTGACTTAAATCTTTCTTTCATTAGAAGCATCTTTCTTGCTCATGGAATTGAGCCCTGGGCAGCTGAACTATTGAGGGTGAAGAAACAATGTGGCAAAAGAAGGAAGGAAGGAAGGAAGGAAGGAAGGAAGGAAGGAAGGAAGGAAGGAAGGAAGGAAGGAAGGCCTCATCTCCCTTTTCCCTTCCAGGAAGACTTCCGTGCAGGGCTTGTATGCCATTCCTGGACCACCTCACTCTCATCCCAAGCTATCATTCCCTAGAGCAGCTAACCTGGGTTTTTTTGTGCTTAGTTATGGCACATTTCTCTTATTTGCAGTGCTCAGACCCCCACAAAGCTTGGAACAGGCTGTTTTCCCATTTGAGGGAAGCCTCCCTTGAAGCTTGCTAGTAGGTTTCCCTGCCAAGAGAAGCACAGAATTTCCCTGCCAAGAGAAGCACAGTTAGATAGCTTTAGCGATGTATGTGTTTTTTATGTGATGCCTTTTAAAAATGTAATCTCTTGATATATTCTACAGCACAAGCTACAAATGGGATGGATTCCTAAATACATATGTATAGAAGTCAGAACGACGAGCAAATGTGGTAGAACCTACTCTGTCATCCTGCATGCTTTAGGATTCATTGCAGTTATTCAACTTTGCAGTGTTCTTTTTTAGAAAGACTGTGGGTGCCCTTGGGATGGGCAAGGTAAATATCACACGTGCCACAGCTCAAATGATACAAATCACATATTGTGCATCATGTGCAACAGATACAAATTACGTAATTCACATTAGCTGAATCATGATGTCATTGAGATTTCTACTGGCACATGTGGGGAAAAGCCTTGTTAGATGGATACTTTCCCTCCTCTTGTTTCCTTCTTGTGCTTGGCTTATAGAGCTTTATAGCTCCAGGCCTGGTTTCATAGTTATATCTAAACCATTATTATATTTTGTTCAGAGAATCTTTGAAATGGGTAGGTTCTTTGGATCCATGCTGCAGGGCTTCCATTTGAGGCAGCATTACGTGACAGAGCAAAATTCTAGTCACAAACTCTTTCTCTGTTCTGCATGTAACCAGTTATGAATCTCTTTTTGCTGCCTATAAATGAGACTGTGGCACCTCAAAATTCCTTGCAATTCAAAGCACAATTGACATCAGAATAGTAGGAATAATGGTGCTATTTCCAAGAGTAAAAGGATTGGTAGAACAAATAATAAAGCCAGAATAATGCAGAGTAAAGTATTTTCTTCTCTGTGTAAGATTTCAGAAATTTGGGCAAGGTGGAAGAGTTGAGTTGTACAGTATGATGCTGTACTTATATGACTCCTTTTCGTGTGATGTGGAAACAGTTGTGAAAGGATATTATGCAAGTGAAACATATTAGTGTTTGCCACTCTGGTCTTGTGCAAAAGGCAAACTACTGAAGCAATTTTCAGGCTTTCACAGAGAATAAATAGTGCAAGTCAACCATCACCTGGAAAACAGTGGGAAAATCCCTCT